AAAAAGGTCTAATTTCGACTAAGAACGGCGAAGACGATGATGAAAGGCAAAAGCGTTTCTTTTTATATTTAAAGGATCGGATGGTTTTGCTGTTGTTAGCGAATGCTGTAAACTGGGGATTGTAAGTCACTCGAATTAATTTATTCACATGAACAACTAAGTTTCAATCACACATCCAAGCTCTTCAAACCAATGTTGCAATAAGGAAAATATATACTGCATCATTGCAATATAATTCATGATACTAACTGCCTCGTTTTATTACTTCTTCGATTCCTATTGTAGTCCAATACACTTTTCCAGGAAGTCCGTCACCTTGCCTATAAAGCCTCGTTCTCGTCTGTGTTGAAAACGAGGCTCTATAGCCAAGGTGACGTACTGTCCAGAAGTGTTTATTGAGTAGATCGTCTTTGCATGAGTGAAAGCAAATATTATTATGGATATTGAATAGTAAATGATAAAAATGTTTTTTTAGAGCAATCAATGGTGCAGTCACTGAACCAAAAGATTTCGCTTCATATTTACTCGCCATTTTAATTGTGAATGGCTTGATATATTTGTTATTCTACGTTGTTATGAAGGTAATTTCGAGAACTAGCTTCAACCTCGTTCCCAAGCTCTCTCGTGGAGGAAAGACCAGGGGCGTAGGAAGCACCTGGAGTTTGGGGGGGGGCACCGGCTTGTAGGGGCACATTACTATCGGAAAGGGCACCTAAAAAATTTTTCCCGGAAATGTTGTCGACGGGGGGGGGAAGAGAAATTTCTCCTGAGGAAAATTTTCCGTCGTATCATACCGAAATTTATGTTTGTGACCTAATTTTTAAAAAAAATTTGTAAATTTCCACACAAAAACGGCACCTATTGTTTTAATTTAGTATTTACAGCGACATTAGCTTCTACAAAAGGGGCACTTTTCCTCACAAAAAAGGGCACTTTTCAACACAAAAAGGGCACTTTTTATCACAAAAAAGGGCACTTTTAGTCCTTTAAAAAAATTTGGGGGGGCACGTGCCCCCCGTGCCCCCCCCGCTTCCTACGCCCCTGGGAAAGACCCTGTCTTGAAATATCCAAGATAGTTAATTAGAAATCTGCTAGATTTTAGCACATTAAGTGACCAGCTCCTCCCCAACCTCGTACCCAGGCTATTTTCTCTCATACTCAGTGCACTGAGTACGAGGATGGCTCCTCCCGGGGTCTTTCCTCCACAAGAGCTCTATGACAAGAGGTAAGAGCTTGGGAACGAGGTTGGCTTATTCACTCGATAATTTTATCGTTATTGATCTCGTCAGAGGTTTAGATTAGACACCTTAAGATTGACGTTTACGGCAAACGTCAAACCGCTAGCGAAGTTTTTGATTTACCACTCTATTATAATAGCTTTTACATCAATTTTGAAATATATCAAACAATTATTAAACTTGTGGTGTTTAGCAATGATTTAAGAAAGCAAATGAACCACTAGTCATGTATTCAACAAAGCAGTAAATTAAGATGTGGTGTTTGAAGTTGACGTTTGGCGTACAAATTTCATACTTGAACTGCTACGAGGGCTTGTAGTCGTTACAGCATGAAATTTATACGCCAAACGAAAACTTCAAACGCCAAATCTTAATTTACTGTTTTGGTGAATACATGACTAGTGGTTCATTTGCTTTCTTAAATCATTGCTAAACACCACAAGTTTAATAATTGTTTAACATATTTCAAAATTGATGTAAAAGTTATTATAATAGAGTTGTAAAATCAAAAACGTCGCTAGCGGTTTGACGTTTGCCGTAAACGTCAATCTTAAGGTGTCTAATTTAGTGTTTCGTGTTTGTTCAAATCAAACATTCACGTGAATAGGCAGTGCTTTCATTCAATCTTGTTCAGATTTTGTGACTTAATATTTGTTAAAATATCAGTATTTTAAAATGTACCGGCAAAAATGCATCTTGTTTAGATTTTGTGACTAAATATTGTTAAAAACGTCAGTATTTTAAAATGTGCCTGCAAAAATGTATTTTTTTCAACTGTGTAGCTGTACAGTGTACATATTTATCAATGTATTCATGACTATACGACTCGTGTAATTTTGCCCCTTGTGACAATCTACAAAGATTATTTAGAAACATTGACACAGAGATGATTAGAAGTTTTCAATTTTATAGAAACACTTTGTTACAAGTGTACTCTGAAAATTTAGTAACACGCGGTGAGGTTAACTGTTAAGTGAATTTTTCAAGAGGAGGTGCATGGATTTTCATGCCCAACACTAGCCTGCGTGCAGTCCCAGACTCCAAAGGTGGAGTTCGGGACTGCACGCAGGCTAGCCCAACACTAGAGAAGTTCAGATTTGACTTTCGCTATCTCTCACTGGCTTAGTACGCAGCTGATTGGCTTACTAAGCTCTCTTGTGTATGTCCTGCATCTGATTGGTTAGTCGGATATATCAAACACATCTGATTGGTTATTTGTCCGGTAGCGGTAGCGGAAGTCAAATCTGAACCTCTGTACTGATAAAACAAGAATTTTCCTCACATTTGAAGTGATCTTCATTCATTTTATTTTATTTCAGCTGAGAAACAAGGAAAAAATTTCCTTAATATCCATCCTTTGTTCGCTGCTAACTCTGGTTTGTTGGGCTGGATCTCTCACCTTCTTTTTACAAGGTCTTACATCTTGGCAAGTAAGTCATTATATTCAAGGACACTAGTTGTCAGGGTGTCTTGGGAAATCCTTGAATTTGGAAAAGAATAACTTCAGTCCTGGAAAATTAGTGGAGATTCTCAAAAGTCCTGGGATTTATTTCCATCTGTGCTGACAACACTTGGACATTATTTAGACTAAATTGATTTTGAATAAATAGCGGTGTTTTGAGCAAAATCAGTGCCATTTTCAAGATGTTTCTAGTTTTTGGTCCTTGAATTTTCTGAAAAACGCCCTTGAAAGTCCGGGAAAAGTTCTTGAATTTCATTTTCACTCCCCTGAGTTATGTTTTAACACATTAAACATTACAGCTGTCGTATTGAGAGCCTGTTCGCAGGCTACAGCTGTCGTCGTCACCACGCTTGCCTTTCAAGCTGGGAGACCCGGGTTCAATCCTTGGTTGGACCTCTACTCAAGGTCTTAAAGTAATTGAGGAAAAAGTGCTACCTTTACATCGACATCAGTAAATGGTTATAGACTTTCACGTCTTCTCGGATAAGGACGTTAAGTCGTATTGGGAAATCTGCTTAGCAACGAGTGAGAAACTCAATAAAACAAGTGTAACTTGTTTAGTGCTGTACACTAGGTGTATGTACATTTACTGACTAGGTGTATGTATATTTACTGACTAGGTGTGTATATTTACTGACTAGGTGTGTATATTTACTGACTAGGTGTATGTATATTTACTGACTAGGTGTATGTATATTTACTGACTAGGTGTATGTATATTTACTGACTAGGTGTATGTATATGTACTGACTAGGTGTATGTACATTTACTGACTAGGTGTATGTATATTTACTGACTAGGTATATGTATATTTACTGTAGAAAAGTCCAGCATACTCGAGAGAGAACAACGAGGATTGTATTGTATTAAACTTTTATGACGATCATGATGTGTGGCATTTTCTTTCTGCTGTTAGTCTCTTCCTATCTTTCATGGTAAGTTATCAATTGTAAATGCTGTACCTTGACGTGAAGTAGGTTTACACATGCTTGATTTCAGGTTTTGCTGAATCTGCACAGGAAAATATCTGGTAGCGCTAGTAGTATCGCTCCCGGTAAAACATTTAACAAAATATCTTCGCAGGAAATTTTCTTACAAATTTTGCCATCTCATCTATTGAAATGCTGTCATAACATGCTTATTGTTTAAAAACTTCCAAAATTCTTTTCAAATCGCAATTGTCTTGTGTTTGTAGAGATTACCACCATGTGAGATACATTCTCAGAAATCTACCTGTCTAGGAAGTTTTACATTTGTTTCACACAGGAATTTTTTATTTTCGAATTTTGTTGCCAGGAATATATTTCTAGGCTTGTGCTGAATTACGAGCAGGATTTCCCTCAGATTAGCACGACCAGGTTTAAGCATTTACCTTTGTGTTAACGTTATTAGTTTTACCCTCATGCTCAAGAAATAAAAGACGTGTTTACACTGCAAACCTATAATCCTGGACAAAACATCTGCGACACTTCCAATTATACGACCAACTTTCGCAAATTTAGAAAATCCTCCCCCTTACCCCCACTATTCAATGTTGATTGCATTCCCAGAACACGGTTAAAGCAATTGTAATCCGTCCAACATTTTTTTTTTTTTGGGGGGGGGGGCGAACGAGTAAATTCATTTCGGTTAGTATTTTGACCAGGATTGTAGGTCAGGCTTTGGCCAAATTTGGCTTACGCCGATTGGCTTAATACATCTTATTAAACTGGTCAGCCATTCAGCCAATCAATATAGCACATATGACTGGCCAAGGCCTGGCTTGTAGACTTGTACCGTAACGTATCGGTGAGCATGCGCAGATTGAAAAGAGGTTTATAATTTCACGTACTTCCGGGTGTATTCGCGTATCAAAATAAAAAGTTCGTCGCAAGTCAACTTTTTGGCGTACTACGGAAGTACTAACCAATCAACATTCACGAAATTTTGAAAATTAAAAACGTTTTCGCTACGTTACCGTACGAGCGAAGTGGAAAACAGGCTTTACACCGCGTTTGTGCGATGGTGGTGAGATCATAGAGATTATAAATAACACTAGAGGAGGCATCGAGGTTAAAAATTGGGAACGCGGCTAATGGGGGGGGGGGGGGGG